TATATTGAGCTGTGCAAGTGTTTGTTTTTAATATATGGATGTTTGCTTTTTATATGTGGGTATTTGCTTTTTATATGTGGGTGTTTGCTTTTTATATGTGGGTGTTGGATATACACTCTAGAGATCAATTTTATTGGTGTGTATGGTTTGTACAAACTTGAAAAGCTACTGAATTTGAAGGGCATTTTTGAAAACTTGTTGATTTCAAATGTTAGTTGGTTTTATCCATTTTTTTATTACTTACATTTATGAGGGGGTAAATCTGAATGAAATATATTACTTTTTAAAATCAGTTTTTTTCTGTTATTTACATATCTTAAAAAAATTATGAATAGGTACATGAAATTGGATTAAAGTGGATGGATTGATTGAAACACAAAATCATGTTATCAAATGACTGATATCCTTTTTCTGTATGCATGTTCTAATCACATTTGAAAATAGGTTACTGGTTTAATAAGGAATATAACCTGACTAGAAATCAACTGTGTTTACTTTAATTAGCAGTGAAAAATAAAACCTTGCAAACTTTGGAATTCCTTGAAAATTTGAAATATTCTCTAAAAGAAACTCTACAGCGCTGTATAAATCACTTTGTAGTACTGGTATTTGAACAAGTTTGACATTTGGATTAATTTGGGAATTTATGGATTAAAATTAAAGAAATGTATTACTCCTGAGAGGACATATTTTCTATTATATAGTTTTTGATATAAATAATTTTTCATTAGTAAGGAAATTGACTCTTTGCATATGTGCCTTAAATGACTGAATATCTTTGTATGTTTATAATTTTCCATTTTACTATAGTCATGGATGTCTTTGCTCAATTTTTCATTATATTTTAATGTCAATACATGGGGACTGCTCTGGTGGCCTAGTTGTTGTAGCATACCCTTGGATGTGGGAGGTCAGGTTTGAACTCAGGCTGAGTGGTACAAAAGACTTATGAAAAATAGTACAGTACTAACAGATGGCTTGTTAGGCACTAAGCATTAATAAGTTAGTGTTAGGACTGGTCAGCCTGCATAATGTCAGAATAATGTGACTAGGTGGGACATCACAATAATCTGCCACATTTAGTGATGTGTTTGAAACATTGTTAAGGCTATGTTAAAAAACCAGATCTCTCTCTCTCTCTCTCTCTCTCTCTCTCTCTCTCTCTCTCTCTCTCTCTCTCTCTCTCTCTCTCACTCACACATACACAAGCAATAAATTGGACCTCATTTCATGAGACTACACTCATAAAATGCATCTCCAGAAGAATATCTCAATTATATTACAAACTTAGGTCATGGTGACCCAATATTCATGCTTGACCAACTTTTGTATTTTCATCCATTAAGCTGGTTAGACCTGCAGTATCTGGGGGGGGGGGAAATGGGATATGGAAGTATATGAATAAAAGAAATGCAACCATATCATTATTAGGTCACTGCAACCTTATACTTACAATTATGCGCATTTTATATTCTGTATTCCAGCCATTTATTTCTTATACTTTCATTAATTTGGAATTATCTTCAACTACACTCATGAAAAGTTTGGCATTTAATATAATCTCAACAGGGATAAGACAACCATATGATACCAAATTTAGATCTACATTTTCATCTTTGAGTGATTTTATATTTTTAACTGGTTGTTCATGACACCTTCAATATCATTGTCACTATTTCACCTACACTCATGAATGAAAAAGGAAATCAACTCATTTGCATAAATGCCTTGATTGAAGATATTTAGGTGATTGGAAATATATCCTGAGATATTACTTAAATGCAATGAACAGTTTTAAAGATATGGCTGAACAATTTAAAAAATGTACTTTAGATTTGATTTTTTCACATGGAGACCAAATATATCCAAAATTATGTAGAAATACATGTGTATTCAATGGTAAATATTTCATATTAATATTTATACATTATAGTGTGCTAGGTTACTGTATATACACATTTAGAAGTTGAGTCAGACTGCAAACAACAGAGATCTGCAGTAGTATAATGGATCTGCAAATCAGGGTGTGTTATTTGTTCTACTGCTTACTTCTGACAAACTGCTGATGAAGAATGCAATGGCAGATCTTTGTCTTTGTAGTTTGCATGCAGTTGGACTCCTCTTATAAGTGAGTATATATGGTTGTTGTTGTTGCTTATGCCATTTTTCAGCACAAGATAGCCTATACATGGTGGCCAGTATTAATGGTAGAGGAAGAAACCAGGAAATCAAAAGAACCACCTACCTGGCAAGCTTTCTCACATATCCACATTGCCAATGCTAGTGCTCCATGCAGAGGTGAGATGGCAGATGGACAATGCTTTGGATCCCTGCTTTAGATCACTGGCCACTCAGGGCCAAGTATATATGGTACCAAAAGCAGGTGCTTGTGAATTCTTCATGTGAATGAGTATGGTAGTTACAAGTGTGGATTGCATACCACAGATTTATTTATCTGGTGAATCTTCACCTAGGAAGGCTAATTAATGTAATTTCAGAAGAATAAACTGCACAATTGTAATACTAACACTCTAAGATTACTTTGACTTTCAGCCAGTAAAATCTGGTTTCTTG